CTAATTGGATTGTCTAAAAAAATCATTTTTCTCACAGAAAAACCTGTGTCGCTTATAATTTTTCTTTCTTCTACATAAACTACAGTCAACTAAGTTTTACTCCTTTATTGGTCCTGTTTGGCATCCGCGTTGAACATTAACGTTAGCATTTTGAAAAGGTTATCCGACGGTAACCTTTAGCGTTAGCGTTTTCAGAATTAATCTACACAATTAAAAATTTATCCAAATCGCTAACGTTAATCGAAAACGTTCTTTCCATACAAGGCCATTATGTTCTAATAAAGCCAATGGTACCAAAACAATTTTATAAATAGGGAGTAGTTTTTAGGGTAAACAACGCTAATGAAGGAAAAACTTGCGTTCTGATGCAGTTTTGATACCCATGTTTTTACTTGTTCCCTTTCTAGCATGTTCCACTGTAATTTTAGGTTCACATTTCATTATCAGCCATTGGATAATTCACCTAATTGTTTTTTTTTTAAATTACCAATAAAGCATTTTTAGTGTAGGTGAATCATGGATGTAGTGGGGGATTAAGAAAAAGACAATAATTGTAAATAAATAAATTTCATAAACGAATAAAATAAAAAAAGAATCTCCGGAATTCGGGATGACCATGTCTTTTTGTGCATTTGAAAAAACCGTTGAATATAAAAATGAAAATATTCCCTCCCCATCCATTAATTTCCTTCTCACTTTCTTTTTTATACCGTCTAAACATTTCTTTCTCGTTTCTTATTTTAGCAAAAAAACTTTTAATGAATGTGTCATTATACCCAGACTTTTTATCCACACTATTCACTTTATTCTATCACATCAACGGCAACACATGGAATGTCAAGCCAAATTGGGAAAGAAATGCTTGGATGTACTAAATAAAGAGGAAAAGAAATAATATAGGTAGAAACAAAGCATTAATAATAGTAGGGAATAGAAGACAAGTGTAGAGCCAAGCATAATAATTGGCATTTGGTTGGGGTAGAAAACACTGGACTTAATTATCCCCCCTTTCTCTCCATCTCTTCTCCTTTCTCTGTTTTTCTTTCTCTCTCTTCTTCATGTTTGTATGTTTCCAATCTCCCATGAAACAACAAAACATAATACAAAGAAGAAGAAGAAGAAGAAGAAGAAGAACACATATATAATCCCAAATCCAACAACCAAACATAAGATAAAGACAAAAACACATACAGGAATTGTTGATCCAAGAAGAAGAAGAAGAAGATGCTATTTAATGTAATGGGGCAATCATATCCACAACAGAGAGAGACATTGTTGTTGCATACATTGTGTTTGTGTGTTGTGTGATTGCAACCTTGTTCATTCTTCATCTGGCCATTCTCTGGTAATTTTCTGTCCATTTTTTTTATTATTTATTTCATCACTTGACTAATAATAATATTAATTCCAATGTTGGTTGCATTTTAAAATGGTTTCTACCCCCTGACTCCCAATCTGCCCCTGCCCCTTAGGTGTTATAGCCACTTCTCCGGCCTCTTCCTCCTTCCGAATTCGATGTTTTGTTTCGCTGCGGCAAAACGTCGAGTTTGGATGTTTGCATTTGATTTTCGCTGTTGTTTTTACAATTTGCTTGATAAAATAATATAGCGTTATTACTTCTTATTTTATTGAATTTTCGATGCAGCGTTAAATATGTTGGTTTATTTATTATTTGTATACCGATTTTATAAGGATTATAATTTGAAATGAATTCAATTCATCCACGTGGGCTAAAGTGTCTCCTTTACTCCGAAATTAAAATTAACTTGTGGAGTGCAATTGAAGAGGGTCGGAGGGAGTGTGTTCGGGTCGGAGCAGGGTCGAGGCGAGTTAGGGGATAGGAACTCTCAATTTTACGAACGAGACACCGGAGCACCCTCGGATCATCCCATGACATTGCCCGGCAATGTCATGGGAACCGCCCCCCATTTATTTTGAAAGGGAGGTAATAAAACCAAACCGACAAGTTGGAGCATAACCACTTTTCCCTGGCTACTTGTTTACTACTCCCGATTATTTGCACATAATAAATGTTCAAAGAGTCAAACGTCCGTTACATGACCACATTTTACTTCCCCCATTTTATTTTTAATTAAAAAAGTTGAACAATAATTCCAATCTCATAGAATGACATGGAGAAATTATGGTACTCTGTTAAATTCAAAAATGGCCCCTCCCAAAAATTACACCGAAATCTCCCTAACGAGTCATTGCATTTTCGTTAATTGTACTCTCTAAATTTTGTTGATTTTGGAGTCAAATGCCTCAATGGAATTGATGTCGAGATTGGTGGGTGAAGTCAAAAGAACCCCACCGATATATTTTTGACCATCAAAATACTCCCTCCGTCCCTAAATATTTGTCACATTTGTATTCTCGAGACAAAATATCAAATTTTTTCAATTTATTCTATTTACATATTGGTATAGAAATAAAAAATAAAATTTACATATCAAAAAAACTACATGAAAAGTTCTTCGAAATAAGAGGTGTCAAGAATATTTTATTTTATCAAATAACCAATGAAAACGTAGAAATAAACAAAAGTTCTCGCAACTGCTGAAAAAGTAAATGTTGCAAATGTTTTGGGACGGAGGGAGTATATACTAGTAACTCATATTTTCTTCTCTCTTTTGCAGCAACAGAGAAAAATCAAAACACAGAAAATGATAATAAAGCTTCCTGATCCAATGGGGTCTCTGAATGTGGAGAAGAAATGGGCGTTTCCTCTCGCCATCGCCTCCGTCGTCTGCTTCATCCTCCTCCTCGGGATGGTTTCCTCCGACCCCAAAACCCCCTCCTCCATCTTCTCCATTTTCCCCTCCCGCGTCTCCACCGCAGAAACCACCACCACCGCCTCCAACGAACACCAATCCCCGCCCCCGCCGCCAGCGCCACCGGCATTGCCACGTTTTGCGTACCTGGTATCGGCGTCGAAGGGGGACCTGGAGAAGCTGTGGAGGGTGTTGCATGCACTGTACCACCCGAGAAATTACTATATTGTCCATCTGGACTTGGAGGCCTCTGTGGAGGAGAGGCTGGAGCTTGCACACAGGGTGGAGAAGGAGCCCATCTTTTTGGAGGTCAAAAATGTCCATATGATAACCAAGGCTAATATGGTCACTTATAGAGGACCAACTATGGTCAGTAATACCCTCCATGCAAGTGCTGTTCTTCTCAAGAGGTTTAAGGATTGGGACTGGTTTATCAATCTCAGTGCTTCTGATTATCCCCTTGTCACTCAAGATGGTTAGTCCTTAATTACTTGCTTAATTTCCCTTTTGAAAGTCTTTATTATTAGGAAAAATTCACAACATCACTCCCTGATTTGGCCGATTTTACAATATTGCCCCCTAATTCTCTTTTCCGTGCCAATACTTCAATGATTTCTCGGAGTATTGGCGTGCAAAAAAAATCTAGGAGTAATATGGTAAAATTAGCCAAGTCTGGGAGTATTGGCGTGAAATTTTTTTCTTAAATTATTATCAATCTCAGTGGTTACTAAGATTTATGTTTTTATTTTATTTGCAGATTTGCTAGATGTGTTCTCTGGTGTAAAAAGAGAGTACAACTTCATAGAGCATACAAGTCAGCTAGGATGGAAAGAGTATGTTATGTGTATTTGTACATAATCCAAACATGACTTTGTGATTTTCTTTTTTTCTTTTTTTTTTTTGCAAAATGTTAAGTAATGTTTGGTTTTACTCCATTTGAATGTGTTGCAGGGTTGGAAGGGGTACACCATTGATGATAGACCCAGGGCTGTATAAGAATACCAAATCTGACTTATTTTGGGTCCAACCAAACAGAGGCTTACCAACATCCTTTAGACTCTTTACTGGTCAGTTTCTACTTGTCTAATCGATTAACTAGTTCAACGAACGCAAGATCTTAATAACCAATCATTGATTTTTCTGGCGTGGGATCAAATCGGAGACCAGGTTCGGCGTGGATGGTCCAATCGCGGGCATTCGTGGAGTACTGCATATGGGGGTGGGAAAACCTCCCGAGAACGCTACTCATGTACTACACCAACTTCGTCTCGTCGCCAGAAGGCTACTTCCAGACCGTCATCTGCAACGCGCCGCAGTTCGTGCCGACCGCGATCAACCACGACATGCACTTTATTTCGTGGGACAACCCCCCGAGACAACATCCTCGGACGCTCAACGTGAACGACACGCAGAACATGATCGCAAGTGGGGCTGCATTCGCGCGTAAGTTCAAGCGGGATGACCCGCTATTAGACAAGATCGACCGGGAGTTGCTCGGGAGGGGAAACGGGAGCTACACTCCCGGGGGGTGGTGTGCCGGGGATCCTCCGTGTTCCAAGGTTGGCGACCCCACAAAACTTGTGCCAGGGCCTGGGGCCGAGAGGTTGCGCCGTCTTGTGACTAGATTGATATTGTTAACAAAGTTTGGGAACCAGCAGTGTAATTAGATAGAATTTTTTTGTGACTACATCCAAAGGATTTTGGATGTGTGAAAAACAATAAAATTTTTTGTAGCATAGTGTAAAAACATCTAAAAGTTACTTTTTTTTACTTGTTTGATGAATCTATACATCTTTCATTCATTCTTTCCCAACAACAACCTAATAAAATCCCACAAAAAGAAGAATCTCGGAAAAGGTATGTAATATGAGTTATGCTAGGAGTAACCCCAAGTTTGTCACCGATTTTGACACCATCTTTCTCACAGACATTTATAGACACAGAAGCATCAAATGACTGTAAGAAAACGATGTCAAACATGGGATACACTTGCATTTTTGTTATTCTAGAGTTCAAAAAATGCATAATTCTACCAATTCGGCCAAGAAAAAACCTTTTACGTGGGCTCGAATGGTCCAAAACCTAATGCCTGAAGAAAACGGGTCATGCTCGAATAACATCAACTTCAATACCACAAATGACAATAGTCTGTGAATATGTAACATAGTATATAATTGTCCGTGAACACACAAAGTTCATAGACGGTTGTCATATCTGGTGTCAAAGCTGGTGCTAAAGTCACTACGCCTCTCATCTTAACTTTCATCCCAACCTTCGTGTGTACGTAGATGTCTGTGAGAAGGTAGGGTGAGAAATGGGATACCCGTAGCATGGTCCATGCCCGAATGGGCAGCTTGGTCCATGCCTGAATGGTCAAAAGTTAAAGCCTTTTCAATGTCTTTTTTCTCTACATGCCAAAAAAGGCTTTAACTTTTGACCTCTGCACTATTCAGTATTCACTAGTCTTGAAAGGGAAATGGTGGGGGGGGGGTTGAAAAGCCAGCAAGGTAGCAACATCATCTAAAAATATGGCCAACACACACACACACACACACACTAGTAATAAATAACCATTGCAAAGCATTGAAGCTAACATGGGAGAAAGATCATAGTTTTCCTAATGAACTCTATCACTAAAATGACATCTTCTTTCCTACTTTATTTTTTTTTTGTTTTTTTAATTTAGGAAATCATTTAACAAGAAAATCACCTGCATGGCAAGAATGCAATCAACAACCTTCGGAAATAACCGACGAACTTGTTGGGTTTTGACTTCTTTCGGCAGCCTGAGCAGCTCGTGCTTTCGCCTTGTCCAAACGCGCCCTTCTTGCAGTTTCTTGGATATGGCGATCGTGATCCTTGAGTATCTGATCTACCCTTGCAGATGGAACGAGTATTGGCCCGGAGTAGTGAATCTTGTTTCCCTTTGATCCATATCCCAGCTGTGAAAATAAAATTAATCAAACGCCACTACATATCAATAAGGGAATGTTTGGATCACAGAAAATGCTAGGGAAAGAGGGGGAGATGTCAAGGGAATTTATTTTATTATGCTTGGGTTTACCAAAAGAAATGAAAAAAATAAAAAGATTTATTTTTAAAAAGTTTTACATATATGCTTATATTTTTGGTGTGTAGGGTAATAGAAATAAATGAATAAAATGACTTTATATATATACTCCATATAAAACATTTCTATTGATCTTGAGCCTATCTATCATCCCACCCCCAAAAAAGAAAAAATTCCTTACATTTTTCGTGTAGTTTCTCCCTCCATGTTTCCTTTCCTTAGAATTTTCCGAGTTCCAAACGGACTGTAAGAGTATGTTCGGACCGCGGAAGATTCTCACGAAAGGCAAAAAATAGAAGTTATTTTTTATGCTTGGTTTTATCTTAAAAAAATTACACTGAAACATGTAGTAATATTTAAACCTATGGTCTTTAATAATTTTATTAAGTTTGAGCTCATCTCTAGTTTTCCTTCAAATATTATTTCCATTCAAATCATTCTCCCGCTTTTCTTTCATTGGTATCTTCTCTCTTCCAAACAGACCCTTAATAAATGAAAAATATATAGGAAGAAAAGTTCATGTCAATACTCCCGGAAATTTGAGATTTTACAAAAATACTCCATAATTGCATAATTATCACCAAGGCTCCCAAAAAATCAATTTTATATAAAATAATACTCCAAGAGAATATTTAGTTTACCACCCCCCAGATTTACGAGGTACCTTTGCGATCAATACGCAATGTGGAAGTATTGTGGTAAAATTATTGAATTTCTGGGAGCACTCGTGATAAATATGTAATCTTGATTTATTCGTGTAAAATTTCAAAATTCTAGGAATATTGGCATGATTTTTTTTCAAAAATATATCATTAAAATGCACAAGGACATTGAGAGATAATACGCTTCTTACAATGACAGGATCATTGCTGTTGTTGCTGCTACTTCCTTCATGGTTTTGATGTGTGTTTGCAGGCCCATGACTCGTTTGGCTAGGCTTAATGGTCGGATTTGAAGCGTCTTTGAAAGATCCGGGAAATCTTGAAACAAGTTTATTAGGAGCTTCGCGACTTTCGCACAGAATGTTCTTCCTTGCAGAGACCAGACCAGACAGTGCTGATAAGTCTTCTTCTCCTGCAGATATCTTTGGGGCAGTTCGGTCAGCCAGTGGACCGGAATGGGCAGCTCTCCTGGGCAGTTGTCTTTGAGGATCGTTGCTTGACAATCCAACGGGCTGAGATGGTCTTGGCGGGTCAATGGGAAAACCAGATGCCGCTTCTTCTTGTTGAGAATTGAACATCTCACTTCTACTTTTGGAATTGGGATTACTCTGTCTTTTCTGCATTTTTCCCAGAAGAACACATAATTTTTTTTAGATAAACACCTTAAGAATTTTTTTAGATAAACACCTATATACATACTCTGGTGCATTATTTTGCAATGGCAAAAAACTTCCACATTTTTATAAAACCAGCACTGCATTTTTTTTGGGCATTTTCCCAAGATCTTTGCTTCATCTTAGCCATTAGAACAATTCTTATTTTTCACGGGAAGCAAACTTTTTATTTGATCCAAAATCTATGTATGTATGTGTTGCTATTTTAAACATTTTATTACAATATTTAAAACACTAGTTTGATTTTAAAATATGATAGTAAAAGTGACATTAATTTGCGAAAACTGAGAGAGCATTAAACTCTTAAAGGAGCATCAGCCGGTGCTACAAACCACTCAGGTGAAAAGAGTATAAGTTGGACCGAGTAAAAATAGCCATAACCAAAATGGTTATGCTACACTCACGCCACGGAAGACACCAAGGTGGACACTCTTAGTGTCCCAAAGACAATGACTATGGGTCTATTTGGCAACAACTTCAGCTTTTTGAAAACGCTATCTAACGATAATGTTTAGCTTTGGAGTTTCCAAAGTTCATCTGCATCAATAAAAAATTATCCAAAATGCTTGGCTAACGTGAACTGAAAATTTTGTTCTCAAACAAGGCCTATGACTATTTGTGCATTATTGGGGTCTCTAGTGGTGTCAAACCTTGGTGTTAAAGTAGAGCATTTTCCGAACAAAAAATCACCTGAATTGATGAGATTAATTCGGCATTGGCACTGGGAGCTGGAACCGCTCGCGATTCTCTCGTACCTCTCCTTTCACTGTCATGTCTGTTAACCTTTCCTCCAGCTGCGGCTCGCCTAAATTATAGTGTCAATGCAAATATAATCAGAGCCCTATGTGAGGAAAAGAGATGTATAAGCCATGTTTGCCAACCAGTTTTAAATGGGGTTTATTCAGCTTCAGCCAAATGAATTCTACCAATTACCAAACAAGCCATAAAAATGAGGTTCGAAAGGTAAAAATATGTTTGTTTGTATATAAGTATAACAACCTTCTTGTTTCTTCACCGCGCATTTTGGCATCAAATTCTTTGCATGGTGGATATTTTGGCAGACTTGAAGGATCACAAGGAAGCGGTTTTGCTGAAAAGAACTGAAAACAGAACAAAAAAAAGTATTATTCAGCAGCTAAATAGGTTTTGAACTCGTGACCTCTAGGTCAACAAGATTTTGGTACCAAGTCAAGAAACCAACTCAACCAAAAAAATTCAACTTTATGAATGTAGACCCAATAAATGTTTTAAAACTTTAACAACTTGAGATAGCCCCAAGAGGCATGTAGAAGAATTTATCAGCAAGGATTTTCATACCTCACTCGCCAAAGCGGAAGCTGCGGACCCACGGTTAGCAGGATCCATGGAAAGTAGGGTCTCAATGAGTGCTAACGCCGGCAAAGGAAAATCTTTAAACGTTTCCGCAACAACACGTCTATAAGGTTGTTGGGGCTTGAAAATTGTAGAATGAGGCAACCGGGTTTTCCTCCAGTACTCTTCCGAAGGTGAACCACACAGTTTGAAAATTTTATGCAATTGCTCCACCTAATAATACATGTAACTAACACTCAATAACTCCATCAAACAACAACCAGTAAAATTTCACAAGTAGGGTCTAGGGAGGATATGTATAGACCATATCCTACCTAGAAGTTAAATCTCTACTTATTAACACTCGATAGATCCATCATGACATTAATAATAAGCATTAAAACTATGACTTTCTGAATATAACGATGCTACTTTGAGCATTGAATCACATTCCACTATTAATTTCCCTATAGGGGAAGCTTAATTCCCCGTATGTGAGACACTTTGATGTAATAATAGGACTACTGTCCATAAAGAAAGTAAAATTCCATGCATATGAGACTGCCTTTGTATATTTTGTGACATGTCACCAACCCCCTTTCCCCCTGAATGTACTGCACCATACGGATAATCCGGGGGGGGGGGGGGGGGGGGGGGGGTGGATTGTGGGATTTAGGGGGTAGGACCTAGTTTGGGGCTCAATGGAAAGCCGCAGAACCCCAAATTAGCTTGGTACCATATTATGACACCGAGTGTTGGCGTCAAAAGATCTCTACTCTACAAAAACAAATTGCTATAATTGTAGAGTTGAAGGCATATTTGAGCCTAAAATCTATAAACAAAAACAGCACCTCTGTTCTTCCGGGCATGATAGGCTTCCCGGCATAAAGTTCAGCAAGAATGCAACCAGTGCTCCATAAATCAACTGCACTGCCATAGTAAGTGCCACCAAGTAGAAGCTCGGGCGGCCTATACCATAGGGTGACAACACGGCTTGTCCGAGGCTGATTTTGCTCTGTAGGATCATAGAAACTTGCCAACCCAAAGTCTCCAATCTTTAATACGCCATTGTTATCGATTAACAAGTTGGAGCCTTTTATATCTCGATGCAAGACCCCACGACTATGGCAATGGTCGAGTCCATGTAGGAGTTGTTGCATGTAACACTTCACCTGGAAATTGTCAATTGAAGGCATAAAGCTTTAGACTCTACAAAACAGGTAGGCAGGCAGACAACTGTATATTCCCACTGTCCCTAAAAGAATTTCACACTTTTTCTTTTTTGGTTGTCTTGAAAAGTTCATATTCCGTTGAAGAAAAGAAATGGGTAGTTCACATTATTTCGCTCTCCTAGGCATAAACTTCCACCATACAATTTTACATTTTCTTAAATTCAGTGGAAAAACAATGAGAAATTCTTTTAGGAACAGAGAAAATAATTAAAAAACAAACCAAACATAGTGCTAATGAATATACCTGAGGTTCAGTAAACTTGAGACCGGGATGTGAGGCAAGCCCGGCAAGGTCATGTTCCATGTACTCGAAGACAAGATACAAACTGCATGACATCCGAGATGTGACTAGACCTTCCAGCTTTATTATGTTTGGATGATGACCAAGTCTTCTAAGGATTTGAATTTCCCTTGCCATAAACCGAACACTCTCAGGCTCCAGATTATCAAACCTAACCTTCTTCAAAGCTACAATCTTTCCTTGATCAAGATCACGAGCACGGTAAACATTACTGTAAGTGCCTTGTCCAATCTGGAAAAAGAAGAACACCTAGAATCAATATGAGCAAAATGCCAGTATATATTCATGTAATCCCGTATTGATCAAAGTTTTCACGCACTAATTGCTTTGTTTGGTTTGGGAGAGAAAGTGAGAATAAAGATAGAGCCAAAGAGGTGAGAAAGGAAGCGGGAAGAGAGCTAAACTGCTAGAGTGGCATTTGACCCTATGAATCAACAGTTAAAGATCATAAACTCATCACCTTAGCTGAAGTATTTTGTACTCTCTTGTCCCAAAAAAGAGTCATGTTTGGTGAGAGTACATGTTTTAAATTTCGGGAAAGTACAATTCTTGAAAGCTATGGAATCCTGCTTGTGCTTTTAAAATTTGCTGTTTGCTTAGCTAAATTTAGCATTTTAAAATTGTTTGTAATCTTTTGGGCAAATCACATGAAAAAGATAAGCTATGTTGTATGAAACCAAACACTTAAGTCCCAAAATACCTATTGAAACAGGATCCTTTTTTTAAACAAGTAGTAGAATAGATTACTCTTTTCTTTCTGTCTTTCTTTTACTCATTCTAGCATATTTACTAAGGCAATGAAGAACACAAACTTAATTATAAGTTTTTTTATCTAACTTCCAATTTGGTGTATGAAGTAAAACCATTCTCTAGCACCACATTGAAAGCAACATGATAAATGCTACTTTGTCAAAAAGAATCCTACTAGAACCAAAAGTAGCATGCAATTGTGCAATACAACCCACATCTTCTTGGAGTAGAGAAGAGTAATTGTTATATAGAGTCTTCCCAAACAAAGCTTTTTGTAGAATTGTGAGATACCATCCCAAGACCAATTGGTAATGGGAGTAAAAACTCATATTCTTAATTTCTTATATAGAACTCCCTTCGTCTCAATAAAAGGTTTCACCTTTGACTAGGCATAGAGATTAAGAAAACTAAAATTGTGTGGTTGAAAGTGATGGAGAGGATGGTTGAAACTGATGGAGAGGAGAGAGAAATTATTAAAACCACAAATTTTTCTACAAATGGAAATTGGAACTTTTTTTGGGGCAAACAAAAAGAGGAAATGAGGAAACTTTTAATGTGACGGAGAGATTAATCTTTTTTAGAATGTTGGATTTTTGGTGGGCCGAGTGAATCGGGTGGAGTGTCCGGTGAGATTGACCACTTTTCTATACAAAGTCTGATTTCACTTTCTAACCAAAAGTTTAAATCAATGGGTAGTGTTTCACCTTTATTTATATGGGGTAGTATTTTAATTGATTTTTCTGTGGGATAGAAACCCAACACACTGAGACTCCCAACACCACCCTCAAGTGTGGTAACTAACCTGGTCTAGTTACTAATTGGATGAATGAGTTTAACATCTCAATCTCTCTTATAGCTAGCCCACAGGGTGATACAAGGATGAATCGAACCCAAACCGAACTTGGCTTTAATACCGTGTTGGATTTTTGGTGGGCCGAGTGAATCGGGTGGAGTGTGTAGTGAGATTGACTACTTTTCTATATAAAGTCTGAATTCACTTTCTAACCAAAAGCTTAAGCCAATGGATAGTGGTCCCGTTTGGCATCAGCGTTAAAGATTAGCGTTAGCGATTTGAAAAGACTATCCAACCATAGCCTTTAGCATTACTATTGTCAAAATAATCTACACCATTAAAATTTTATCTAAATTGCTAACGCTAATTGAAAACACTCTTCACATTTATGTGTGTGTGGGTAGTATTTTGATTGATTTTTCTGGTGTGAGATAGAAACTCAACACACGAAGACTCCCAACATAGATTGAGTGTTCAATGTGGACTTTTATCCTCAACATCCCCTAAAGTGCAATTTGGGTCATTTTGCATCAAGCTCTCACATACTTGAAGAGACAGGGATCCTTTTTAACCACGTAAGTATTAGCTATGATGCCTAATAAAATTGCGATATTACATCCCAAAAAAAATTGACAATAGGAGGAGAAACTCAAATTCTTGTATATTACTCCGTACTTCGTAGTTGTTTTTAGCATGAGTGTTCAATGTGGGACGTGTATCCTTGACAATTTCGAATAACTTTGAATCAAACAAAAATTACGAGAAATAAAAAGAAATCAACATACTTTATCCAATTTCTCAAAAGAATCTGCCCGCCTTGGCACCCATCCACTGATAGCTTCACCCGCCACGGCAACCAACCAGGGTGGCCATCCAGCTGCAACCTGTTCTCCTTCATAAGCTCTGGGAACTGTCCCCATTCCGGGATGGTTAGTGGCAACTAAATATTCCACCTTCCCACTGCTTCTCCTATCGTACTTCTCATTGTGCAACCTGATTGAACCATTTCCTTGCTTCACATTCAACATTGTCTTCACTTCATTGCCTTCCAATGGATCTTTCGCCCTAAAAGCATCCTCTCTACTTAAAGAAACCCCCCTTGATACCCGCAGATCTGCTGATGTCTTTCTTGACGGCCTTTCCCTTGGACTCTCTCTACTGTCTTCAATTGCAGAAGGTTTACAGCAAAGACAACCCATCTTATACCTAACTCGGGGCGTATGAAGAAAATTTTTCTACTTTTTAGTAGATTTCTTTCTCTCAATCACTGTTCTTCAGCAAATCCACGAACACCCACCACACAAACTCATACCTTTTCTCGGAAAAGTCTCTCAACCATACCAAAACATAAAATCTTTGGCCATTTTCTTATCACAGTAAAGGGGCCAAACACGAAATCCACCTCCCAAGCTCACACCTTTTCTCCAAAAAGTCCCTCAATCATACCCAAAGATAAAATATTTGGCCTATTTTACCACTATAGAGCCAAACATGAAAACCACACTCCTGCTACAAAACAAAACAAAATCCCTAATTACACTAAAAGGCGAAATCTTTGAACATTGTTGTCACAGAAAAACAGCCACACACAAAAGACACCTCACAAGCTCACTCTGTTTCTCTGAAAAGCCCCTGTTTATATACCATAAAAATATCACCTTTGGCCCTTTTATCACAGCAAAAGAACCAAAGATGAAACCCAAGATCTATCAGAGCTCAAACATCCCCCATCTCCATCATTGAACCAAAAGAACCCAAGAAACCTGATGCATTCATTGAGAAGCAAGCATATAAGTACACAACAGCTGCAAACCCCATTGCAAATCCATTAAATTTGCAGGGTCAAAATGGGTTACCTTGAATGAGAGCTGAGGGAGTGGTGGGCTGATGGGAGGAGGAGAAATGGGAAGGGGGATCTAGGGCACTGATGGATTGAGCTATGAATTCTGCTGCTTGCTCTCTCTTACATCTTGCAGAGATGCAAATTGGGAGAAGATTGTTCATAGACATGGTTAGGTGAATTTATATTATCACTGACTGATGGGGCAGCTTTCTTTATTGCCTGTCAACAGTGTAACTGGTGGAGAGAAAGGCCCGATGTGCTTCTTGTTTTCTCTTTTTTAATTAAGGAAAAATGTTAAAAAATGTCACTAACTTATCAAAAAAAAATAGAACAAATTTTAATCCTTCTTTCTTTGGCTTCTAATATCGGTTCAGAAATGTCTCTAGTTTCAATTATTAGTTCAAAATTACAAAAAAAATTATGCTACTGTATTTTTTATTTGTACTTTGTAAATTATTAAGTACTAACTTACATTTAAATGAGTACAATATGAACAATTCTATATTATAGTAATCTATGGATAAAAGTAATATAATGATAACAATAATAAATAAAAGTAATATGAAGAACTTCAAATTCAGTTTATAGTCTTATAAAGTTTAAATCAATATGTATATTTCTATGCGTTTAATTTGATTCTTCAATTTATGGTTGATTTAGTAGTTATTCGGTCTAATTAATTCAAATTTGTAGTTGAATTTAGCTAAAATAAATATCTAAGTGGATTAGTGTATTAAGGTTTGCATCATTACTAGAATAAATTTAAGTTTGGTTTATCAAAGATGTATCGATCAAATTTTATTTAGTTGATTTTTTTAAAGTTATGTTATGCCATTATTTAACATAATTATTTTAGAGTATTAGATATAAAATCATTAAAGATTAATGTTTCAGTCAATTAAAGTGATATTATTTACAAAGAAAATAATTCATGAAGAAATATTTATGATACAAAATAATTTTAGGCCTAATTGAATGTTTATACTAAGTTATTATGGAGTAAAAAAAATTGTATTCCCTCCGTGCACAAATAAACTTCTCGTTCATTATTCACATGATTAAATTTTATTCACTTTGTTGGTCTATTTTTGTCACTCATTTTATAAAATAATATAATCATGTCACCTCTTGTTTTGTAGATCTTTTGATATATTTTTTAATATGTAATTTTTATTTTTAAATTTTACACCATTTTTTCATATAAAATGATTTGAAAATAACTTTAGTCAAACACCATAATGCGCAACGAAAAGTATATTTGTGGACGGAGGGAGTATTATTAAAAATTAGCACAAATAAATAATGATAGTGTTAAATTGAACAAAAAAAATCCTATGATTTGCAGACGGTTTTAATTCACCGGAAATCTCTGGGGGCCGGGTTTATCCACTGCTCCGACAAGCGAATGGAGGAAGCCCAAGAAGTCAATGCCGTGTTATACGAAACCCTAAGCCCACTCCTTGGCGGCGGTTCCACCGAGGACTCGCCGCCCCCATCACCGTCGCGCGGTTCCGTCAAACTCGACCCGTACACCGTTTTCCGCAACGAAATTTCTCTAACCTCAACCGTGTGCCCCTTGCCGGAAACTGCCGTGCAGGATTACTTTTCTCTCGACGCAGGCGAAGATGTGGGTGAGGTGCAGCGGAATTTGTTATCTGCGCCATCTCCAGCTCCTCCTGTGCAGGTGCCGGTTAAGGAACCGGCTAGGACGATTGAAGGGAGCTGGTTTCGTGCCAACTGTCGTTTCAGGAGTCCTATGCTTCAGCTCCACAAAGGTGATGTCTTTTGTTCTGTTTATATTGAGCTATGGCAAAACACTCTTCAACCGTTGCTATAATGAGCGTTGATTCTGTGTTTTATATGGCCCAATTGTGATTAATCATTGGAATTATTTACGGTTTGGTTGAAGTGACTTCTCTGATCATCCTGGAATTTTATGTTTTTGGTGATTGGAAATTCGGAATTGGGTTTAGCTGTTAACTTGGGGCCTGTGAGATTGCAGAAATAATAGATTTTTGTGATTTCCTATCTCCAAGCCAAGAGGAGCAAGAGGCACGCAATGCAGCTGTAGAACGTGTGTTTGATGTCATCAAGTATATCTGGCCCGAAAGCAAGGTCTCTTTTCTGAATATGTTTTGCATCTTCCATCCCTTTTCTTTCCTTAAATGCATCCTAAATATGTGAAGATTCTTATATTTTGTTTCAGCCAGAAGTTTTTGGGTCTTTCAGGACAGGGCTGTATCTTCCATCCAGTGATATCGATGTAAGTTATTGGTACAGTTCACTTTCTAATTCCCATTGACAGTAACCAGTAAGCTTTTTAATCCATGGAGGTTTGCTATGATGAGGTCTGTTTTGTTGGCATATGGTTGTAATAACCAGTGCATGTATAGTTGTATATTGATTCTTTTCTATGTTCTCCGACTCGAGTTTTTACATTGCGGGGGAAAATTTCATTTTTCCATGTTGGAGCGTTGAAATTCATATATTTTTTAGAACTATACATCAAATGCTTACAAATTTAAAATATAAAATATTGAACCAAATTTAAGGAGTAGCTGAGACTCTGAGAGGGGACAGCTGCCACAGGCCCTCACCGCTACATCTCTGACACAAGCTTTTCTGGAGAGTTCGTGTGAAATAGAGATTGTACAACAAGAACAGTAAAATCCTGTATTATGAGGTGTGGGGAGGGTGCGTGTACGTAGACATTGCCTCTACTTGGAAAGTAGATAGGCTGTTTGGTGAAATAGACATTATAATCAGTAAAATTTCTTTCTTATTGAACACTGATCATATGAACTAATGTCTTTCTTCACAGTGGTGAGAAAGAATATGTTTGGCATGTGAAAGTTCATATCCTTGGCATCACAATGATTGCTTGAATGTTTAATCTGATACTCAAATCCTGTACAAGAATCATGATGTCTTCTGATTTCTAGGTTGTCATTATGGGTTCAAACATCAGAAGTCCTCAAATTGGGTTACATGCTTTATCCAAAGCCCTTTCTCAGAAAAAAATTGCCAAGAAAATACAGGTAGATTTCAGTTCAGTGTTACCCTCAATATCATGTTTAATAGTTCCATTCTTATTGTTTTGCCTTCTCTAATAATCAGGTGATTGCAAAGGCCCGTGTACCAATCATCAAATTTATAGAAAAGAAAAGTGGCATTTCATTTGATTTAAGGTTGATATAATATCTGTCTGCATTTTCATTTTATCCCATTATTTATTTTTTTCTCCATCTAATTCTGAAATGTTTTCTCTTGGTTGCAGTTTTGATTTACAAAATGGGCCAAAAGCTGCAGAGTTTATTGTGGTTTGTTATTTTAACACATTCTCATCACTCAACTTACTGAACTGTGAAAGAAAGGATAATGACCTAGTGTTATATAGCAATTGCTATTATTTTGTTGCTGATACACTCATAATTTCTTTCAGGATGCTGTGTCTAAATGGCCTCCATTGCGGCCCTTGTGTTTAATTTTGAAGATTTTCTTACAGCAAAGAGAGTTAAACGAGGTGGGATTTTTTGGACATAATTTACTGATTCAGACTGTGTTTCAGTTCAGTTCTTGTTCAGTAATAGTTGTTGATGTTGAACTTCCTTACGTTGCAGGTATATACAGGTGGGATTGGTTCCTATGGTCTTCTTGTCATGCTCATAGCAATGTTGCGGGTAATTAACTGAATCATGCTTTCAAACTCAATTGCATTGTAGATCCGTTCTCCTGGTAATAGCATTGTGTTTCTCCCCTATGTCAACTGGCTTTTTAACATTTTCATTTTCTACATGGTATGTTTTTCAGAACCACCGTGACTATCAAGCTTCTAAGGAACTGAATCTTGGAGTGCTTTTGGTGAGACTCTCTCACTCTTTCCTTGTTTGACATAGCTCTTAACATAAAGCTTTGCTATACTGTTATCAAAGTTTTCTAAGAGCAGAATCTTTTAACATAGCTTGATGGATGATGTCCACATATATATTTATGTGGGAGTGATGTGTTTCTCCTAATATATAGGTTGCTTTCTTTGATCTTTATGGTCGCAAATTGAATACATCTTCTGTTGGACTAACATGTAATGGAGATGGAACCTTCTTCCGGAAGAGCACTAAAGGGTATGCAATAGTCAAACATCATAGTAACTCATTGCTTCATTTCCTAATTTAATATTAGATCATGCAATAGAAACATCATAGGATGAATGCTTGAAGCTTGGTCTTTTCCCTGTTTTCTTAGGTTCTCAATCGAAGGACGGTCTAATCTCATATCCATCGAGGATCCACAGGTTTTCTCTTTGAGTGCCTTTCCATCTTTCATAAGATTGATTTAGAAAAGTACTCCATGTGAAATGACAACATTCCACTTTCTCCTTGATTTACTCCTTTGTCCCACTACTTTTGCCCCCTTTCTATTTTAACCTTTTGTCTGTCCCACTATTTTTTGTCTCATATATCATACCATATTTGGTCATATATGTATGGTTCACATCCATTCTCTATCTTATTTTTAACATCAATATCAACCACTCAATCTTATTTTTCTTAATTTCCGTGTCACTGTGTCATGTTCTAAAGCCACTCTCATGGGATTCAACTGGGTTGTTGTTCCCTCATGTTCCAAAAATAGTGGGACATAGGGAATGTAGTTGTTTCGTAATTGAGCTATGTGATCGGCTGGGGGAATTGATTGGGACCATTAGGTTTTAATCGTTGTTTCTAATTGAAAATACATCTGGAAGCTTGTTTACTTTTGAACATTGTACTTCTTTTGGCCTTTGATTTCCGTAAATCCTTGGGTTAACAACAGGCACCAGAGAACGATGTTGGAAAGAGCTCGTTCAACTATTTCCAGGTTGGTCCCACTTTCTCTACATAAAAATTGTCTAGGGATTTTAGTTCAAGAATTTAAGCATGAGCTCTGCTCATTTCGATCTCCAGGTTTATATTAAACCACTCTGCGGTTCTGGTAATGACTGGATAGAATTATTTATCCCAAGTTTTTAAGCATTGGACGACCGTAGTGTAAAATGGCCAAAACCTAGATGACTAGTTACGCTCCCATGTTGGAAGACTAGGAACTGAGATTCCCATTCATCTATATTTAAGTCCTTGTTTGGTTGAAGAATTTTTAGGGGAGGGTGACATTTATATTACTCCATCCGTCCTATAATGATCTTCCCAGAGCACTATTCCAACTTCACGGGAATTTATATTTATTTGTGTTTTTTCATGGCCTATATGATAAAATAATATATTCTTGTCACCACTTGTTTTGTTGAACTTTTGATGTAGTTTTTAAATATGTATGTTTTATTTTTTATTTGTATACCAATATTTAAATAAAATAGATTGAAAAAACTTGGGATTTTTCTTCGTTTTGCGAACCGGGAAGATCATTATAGGACGGAGGGAGTATTAATTTATTCGTACGTTCAGATGGTTGGAAAGAAAGTGAAGATGAAAAATAATAAGGTAGAAGAACGTGATTAGTTTTTAGTCTAATATGAGCAGAAGAATCCGGTGCCAAACAGAGTCCAAGTCTGCGCTCAAAAGTACATAGTATTTACATCAATTAAAGTCACTCCAGAACCAATCTTCCTAACCCAGTCAATCCCTGCAGGTGAAATCGGCTTTTGCGATGGCATTCTCAACGCTCACTAATGAACGCGCCGTATTAAAATCAGGTCCTTCTAGAAGCATACTTGGCATGATAATACGACCAGACGACGTGCTACTAGAGCGGAAGGGCGGCAGCGGCGGCGGGGGGTTGTTCCCGGGCGTGGGGCCGCCCTTGTCTCAAGAGAAATACAGCGACCAGCGCAACGGCATGCACTATAACTGGCACATCCATTTTGGCGAAGAAGAAGAAGAATTGCTTCCCCGGGGAAATGGAAACGGCATGGCCAAAGAAGACGGACTTTCCTCTGGAAAGAAGAGAAAGAAGTCCAAGGAGAAACATTCATCCAAGAAGAAGGTGAAAGATGATGGAGAGACGGGTAGCGGCGGGAGGTCAAAGAATGATAAGAGTCCAAAGAAAAGGCACCGGAAGGGCGGGGGCGACGAAGACGGGAAGGACAACAACACCCCGAAGAAAAGATACAATAGGAAACACGGTGGCGGCACCGGTGCCGGCAGAGGCGGAGGCAGGGGTTCAGTGCCATGGCACTCTAGGTGATGATTTAGTTTGTAGGGTTCATTGCCTACACAAAGTCCAGTTTTGCATATGTATCTTTGTTGTTGTTATTATTATTGATTAAAAGTTGGATTAGAAATTAATTATGAGTCTACCTTATCTTTTCAGCTTGTACACCAAAATGTGCATCAAGTTGCATGACAGAGGTAAAAATGATAGAGAGAGAATTTTTAAAGAGAATTAGCAGAATCAGATATACTTTTAGTCCTTGAGTTTGCATGTATCCCAACTTATTATCTATTTTTATGATTCATTTGATAAAATAAAACTCTGTTCGTCCTAAAACGTTCTTCCCATTTTTGTTTACAAGGCTTGATCGAGTTTATTTTCAATTCGTTTTATTTGATTGTAAGTGTAAATTAAAAAATAAAATTTATATGCTTTATAACTATGTCAAAAATTATACAAACGAAAATAGGTAAAGAATGATAACCAACGAAAAGTTGAAAATAGGTAAAGAATGATAACCAATGAAAAGTTGAAAATAGGTAAAGAATATGATTGTCGTTTGACTGTGTGAATAGTAACTGGGAAGAACATTTTAGAATAGAAGGATTATAATTCTATTATTTTACATTTTGTTTTGTAAATTCTATTATATATACTTCTTCCGTCCATTAATTTCTTTTCCACTTTTCTTTTTGGATTGTTCAAAATTTTTTTCTCGTTTCCTATTTTGGCAACAAAATTTTAATAAATGTGTCATTATAATCTCATTTTTTATCTATAATGTTCACTTTATTTTATCTCGTCAAGAGTAACATAAAAAGTCTTTATACTTTAAATTTTTCTTAACCTACATGTCAAGTCAAATTGGGAAGAATTTTTTAAACGGAAGAGTAATTTTAAATATATACTTTGAGGTAAATTTTGTTATTTTAATTTAAAAGGGAGGGTGTAATTTTTTTTGGATATAAGTGTAAATTTTTTAAAATTTTATTCTATTTCTAATTTCAATTGGAAAATCCATTCCACTGGCTTCTTTGGGAGCGGATGATTTCGATTCAATTCTTTCTGAGAGCTTGTAGAGTTTGATTTACCCTTCAGAATCTGAGAACAAGTACAATGTCAACGTGCAAGTCTTCGTCGTCTTCCTCGTCGAGCTCACCGAAATCCTGGCTCATTCATGCTCTGGCCGCCGGAGCCGCTGTGGCCGTAGCTGCCGGCGCTCGCCGGTACCTTTCCAGATCGTGGAAGTTTCGGAGTCGGGTTATCGGAATCATACCAGCTCGTTACGCTTCCACTCGGTTCCCGGGTAAACCGCTCCAGCATATCCTCGGCAAGCCCATGATCCAGGCACGTTCTCGAATCTCCTGTTTGAGTTATCGCCAATTCGCCATTGCATCTTATCTCGATCACTGGCCTTAGTATGAATCGCTGTAATTCATGAGATCTTCTGAGGATTTTTCATTTGTTAAATGTCTAACAGAGGTGAGAAATAAAATAAAACACTTATGGAAATGGAGTTTAGAGGCACAGAAAATAGAAGAATTTGTAAGGTTATTATAGCCTAAGACTCTGTCATTAACCTTTTGATGAATGATGATATCTCAAACCTCAATTACAGAGAACATGGGAAAGGGCAAAATCAGCTACGACATTGGATCGAGTTGGTATGAGCTTCATTTTAAGATTCTTTGACTATGTTATCTCTATGGGGGAATCATTATTCATAATTGTATTGTTCGCTGTCTGATAGTTGTGGCAACGGACGATGATAAGATTGCTGAATGTTGTAGGGGATTTGGTGCTGAAGTCATTATGACATCTGAATCATGTAGAAATGGTATGATCACACTTCTATTACTAATTACTAATTCCACGGAGATCTTTTGACATTGCTGGTTGCTGTATTTACTGATAATTGGTAGCTAATATCCAGGAACTGAGCGTTGTAATGAAGCTCTTCAAAAGCTTGAAAAGAAGTATGACGTTGTTGTTAATATTCAAGGAGATGAACCACTTATTGAGCCTGAAATTATAGATGGTATTGTCTTAGCCCTTCAGGTATAGTAAAGTTGGTCCTGATGCTGAAAAACCGGTGTCGGATATATATATTGTTACTCATTATTAGTTTTTGAGAAAATACAGTGCAGCTTTTACTTGTACCTACATTGGATCTCATCCTTTTTCCAACACAAGTTAAATCAAATATCATTTGATTTTAGGAAGATCATTGCCATTATTGATTTGTATGATCCAAATCAGATGCTGGCTAATTGACTTATTGATGCAGGCTGCACCAGATGCAGTTTTTAGCACTGCGGTGACTTCCTTGAAACCTGAGGATGCATTTGACCCAAACCGTGTGAAATGCGTAGTTGATAATCGTGGTTATGCAATCTACTTTTCTCGGGGGCTTATCCCGTTCAACAAGTTAGTCTGATTTGTTGACTTACAATATATGATGTGGTTCTTTTGACACCAAGTCTTGGTGTCATACTGTGACACCGAGCCATTTGGGGCACAATGGTGTGCTGTTGATCCCCAAACTAGGGTTAGAGATCTGGTCCGGGCTCAATGGAGCAACATAGGGCCCCATTGTCGTAATATGACTGACTGGCAAACTTGGGGTCAAAAGAACCCCACCCTACAATATTTAGGGTGTGAATAAAAATTCTGAAAGGTATTATACTTTGTTATAGTTATGTTTGTACATGGTGTGAGTAAATAAATGAAATATTTATACCATGTTCAGGTCCGGCAAGGTTAATCCTCGCTTCCCTTATTTGCTCCACCTCGGAATTCAGGTAATTGATCCGGGGCTGTTGTGATTAATTGGCTGCATCTATCATTCATGTTTTGTAATAGAGATTGTTAAGTGGAAGGTCGTAATGCACCACACATGAATTCACTTTCAGAGCTATGATGCAAAGTTCCTCAAAATATATCCAGAACTGCAACCAACTCCGATGCAACTAGAAGAAGATCTTGAACAATTAAAGGTCCTCGAGAATGGATACAAAATGAAGGTACTGGGTTCGTTCGTTTTTTGTTTGACGTATCTAATTGTGAAAGGCTTACACGACTTTGGTCACTCAGTTCTCAATTGACCAACTAAAAGGGCCATTATGCACAGGTGATTAAAGTGGATCACGAAGCTCATGGGGTTGACACCCCAGAAGATGTACATAAGATAGAGCAATTCATGCTCCAACGGAACCTCTCCTAGTAAAACGTTGCTCCAAACAGATCTTTTGGTGTGTGAGTTTCTATGTGCGTGCGTGCATGTGGATTTTATTACCCTCACGTACATGCTAATGCTCCATGAGCATATGTGTGTTTGTTGACTCTACTCTACTATTTGAGGATTTTGAGGTTTTTCTTTTCTACTTGCAATGTGCTTCTTTTGTGGTGCTCTATGCTTTCCGTGCATTATGTGTTTTTCTCAAGCTAGAGTTCTCTTTTAGAAACAACTTCTTTGCCTCAGTAAAAGTTTACTTTCAAGTCGGAGTAAGGTATGTGTACGCACATCCTCCCCACACCATACTCTCGTGGGATTCTACCGGGCTGTTGTGTTGAACGATGGAGTGTTGTTTGTGTTTGCTTATTTTAATACTCCCTTGGTCCCATAATTATCTTCCTTCTTTCCTATTTGGGTTGTCTCATAATTTTCTCCCTCTTTCCTTTTGAGAAGATAAATATGTGATCCATATCAATTCTCTTTGTTCTACATAAACACAACCAATCAACCACCAACATTTCACTTTATTAAAAATCGTGTCATGTCAAACTCGGAAGATAATTCTGGAACAGAGAAAGTACAATTTTATTCGTATTAGAAAGTTAAGAACTTGTCTATTCTTGATGTGTTCCTCCCCTCCCCCAAAGGTGATTACTTGAATGAAAATTGAATTACTCTATTCATCTCTAAATAATCTTGTTTTTTAGAGTTTGATAAAAATAAAAAAAATTGTATGATGGAAATTTATGTAGATGTGAGATAAATAATGAGCAACACTTAATTTTTCCTAGATTGAACAAGGACCGTTTGACAACATTTTTTAGTGTTTAATTTTAGCATTTTGACAAGATTATCTAATTTTCTAGTATTTTCAAAGTTAATTTTTTACTAACAAAGACAACTTAGCTGGATCCCACGAGACTAGACTCTGAAGAAATGTGGGTATGCAGATTTTATTTTTACTCGAAGCTAAAAAGATTGTTTCTAAGAGATTATCGATTGAAAGTATCTTTAAAAAATGGGTGGGGTTCCCATAACATTGGAATTCAATGTCATGGGAGACTCGGGGGCGCTCCGGTGCCTCGTTCGTAAAATTAACGGTTCTTACCTCCTAACCCGCTGGTAAACCCCTCACCCCGCCCCGACCCGAACACACCCCTACCCCCGTCAATTGCACTCCACAAGTTGATTTTGACTTTGGAGTCAAATTTTGTGCACATATGATTCATAAAAATCCAAACATACAAGGAAAATGCTAAAAACCCCCCACCCTTGCTACCACTCATGCCCCCTACATAAACATGTGGTAGGGAGGCAAGAAAATTAAAATTAGAAGGTGAGTAGAGAATAGATAGAAATAAATATAAGGTAGAGAAGTGGATGGAGACAAGGTTGGTAGCAAGAGTGGGAGGTGTGTAGCATGGTCCAACATACAAAAGTTAACCCAAAAGCCACCGACCATGGGGCCAAATGGGGGGGCCAATGATTCATTTTACCCCCTTTCACAAGCTAACTGTTCCATCTTCCCGTTCCCTGTCTGATTTCCAGATAGTCACTCTCTTTTCATCCGCCATTAACGCGCCCCTCATCCTCCGATATCACAGCCGGAGCTCATTTTCTCTCCCACCGCCGTGGTTTTGTCTCCTTGAATTGATCTTACGCGCCGGTATGCTCTTCGTTTCTTCTCCTTCTCTATGATTCATCTCTATCTCTATCGGCGTCCGATTGTTTTGGGTGTTCTTGATGTTCTTCCATTGATCTGGATTCATATGATTCGTTGCTTCTCACCTTTTTTGTGTTTAATTTCCCCAGGTTTGAAATGTATTTGAAATTAGAAATCAATTTGCCCTAAATTGCATGCTCAAATGTAGGGTTTCCCGTTTTCTACATTTCTGCTCAGTTTTTTATTTTATTTTTTATGCTAAAACCGTGATTAGAAACTTCTTTTATATTTTTATCGTCTTCAATCAATGTCTTTTTGCTAATGTAAAGGTTTGAGTTTATCCCGAATGGTTTCATCATTTGTATCCTATAAGAGTATTTGGGCTTGGAGTATGAATAACCCTTGATCTTGGATCCCGTTTGGTAAGAGTTCTAAGTTATTGGACTGAGATGTCTGTCTGAATTTGCTGGAGTATAAGCCACTGTTGTTGTTGTTGTTTTATAAGCCACTGTCGAGTTTTGGCTACCAAACGGACCCTTAAATGCTCGATTAAGACAGATTATAATGGGAAAAAATTGCTGATGCGTCTTTGGGTAATGGTTTATATCATCTAAATGCAGATTTTGCTGATGATAAGCTCACATCATCCATATGCATCGATCCCAAACAGGAAAAAAGAGTTGAAGATCAGTTCCAAAAAAACATGGTTTTAGAAAATGCTTCCACTTCCAGCTTATGCTTTGATTGCAACATATGTCTAGAATCTGCCCACGATCCGGTGGTCACACTTTGTGGCCACTTGTACTGCTGGCCTTGCATTTACAAGTGGCTCCATGTACAGGGCCCGACCCCGGATTCAGAAGACCATCCCCAGTGCCCTGTTTGTAAGGCTCGCATCTCAAAATCTACGCTGGTCCCACTCTACGGCCGCGGTTGTTCATCATCATCATCATCATCCGACACCGAATCCAAGAAACATGGAATGGAGTCCTCCATTCCTCAAAGGCCACCTGCTATTGGCACGAATATGCCACTCCCAAATGCAGCACAACCACGGGAGCAACCTCATTCACCGCCCCCTTTCCATGCTTTTGGCAGCTTCGGGCCTTCTGTGGAGGTTGCTGGCATCTTCAGCCCAAATGTGGGGATGTTCGGGGAAATGATTTTTGCAAGAATGCTTGGTTGCACCGACACGACCGTGTTTGCTTATCCAAGTGCATCTGCATTTGCCGCCGCCGGCGGTGGTGGTAGCCCCAGAGTGAGAAGGCAAGAAATGCAGGTGGAGAAGTCTCTTAACAGGTTATCCATCTTTCTCTTGTGCTGCTTGATCTTGTGCCTTCTTTTGTTCTAATAACTAAGTTCCTAATTTTCTTTTATTTGTAAGAAATATAAGCAAAAAGGGCTTCTTCTAATATGGATCTATATTTGTATTTGTCTTTCAACTTTTAGTTGTGATATGTGTGAGCTTTATTTTCTTGTGAATGGTTTTGGAGCTATGGTGTTATGTTCTTTTCTATTCACAAATGATGTTGCTCTGTCTTATACCTAGTTTCCATCCTACTTAGGCTCTGTTTGGGTGAAAGAGCATTGCCAACTAAATCGGTTCAAACACCACAAAGGTATTATATCCTGTAACTCCAATTTTAGAATAAAAAACATGAAACATCTATTTTGGTAGTTTCTCTATATTTTACTTCTAGTTTTGTCATGAGAGTAGAACATAGCCTTTAACCCTTTATCCTCAAAGACAACCCTTGTTCTAAAACTTTTGACGAGATTTTTTATTTTCTAAAAATTATCCACAAGTACTCTACCATAAAAAATAAACTATATAAGCAACATATTTTTTTCTTCAAATCAAAATAAAAGGATTGGACTAACAAAAAAAGATAGACAATATAAAATTGGACAAATGGAGTTAATTAATTACGGAGTAATAAAAATCCGAAGATATTTTATCCTTTAGTTTAGGGGTAAATTTTTAGGCAGACTTAGAGCTTGTTCTTTAGGGCTTGAACTCTTAACTTCCAGTTTCTTCCAATTTCTTCCAGTTTCTTTCAACTATTCTCATTTTTTTCAAACTCTTTCTACTCCCCAACCAATTATTATTATTATTATTATTATTATTATTATTATTATTATTATTATTATTATTACAACTGTTATGTTTATAACTATAGTTATATATTATTTTTTTCATCTCACTATTTTTACTATTCACACTCATTACTTTTTTCTTCTACTTTATAATATGAATAAAACAATTTTTTGTATATTAATCTACATGATAAAATAGGAAAACATCAATATGTTAAACTATAATAAAAAAATTGTGGATAAAATAGTGACAAAGAATGTTTTATTAAACTAATTTTATATAAGAGCAACTCCAATGGTGGGAGGTATGTTGGAGAGGTATATATCTCATTTACCTCTCCAAATGATCGAGTTTACCTTCCTAAAAAGTGTGCAACTCCAATGGGGGAAGGTAAATCAAAAGGCTAAAGAGGGAAAAAATCCATCTGCATACATTAATGGGAAAAAATTAGTTGATTTACCTTCTTAAATCATATTTCAATTATTAGAAAAGAAAATATACCTTCAATTCGTAAAAAAAGTCATGGAGAGGTAAATTTGAGGTTTGCTGCCTTTGTTTCTTCTTGATTAATATTTTTAATTCAAAGATTTTATAAAAATCCAACTAATCTATTCAAAAAAATTAGAATGTCAGTTGTCAAATAATTAAATATACATTATGTCCAATTGCATACAATAACTAAAGTAATTGATAGAAATTTAAAAGGTGGGAAAAATTGATATACCTCTCCAAATGAAGAAGGTAATGATACCTTTTCAAATTTGAAGAAGATATAATGCCTCCTTATTTACCTCTCCCATTGGAGTATGATTTTTTTTTAAAAAAAAGGTATATATCATAATTATTACTCTTTATCCTCTCATATGCCCCTTCCCTTGGAGTTGCTCTAAGACCTCTCACCTTTCCCTTTATCACTTCAAATTTGCTCATTTTTCTAAATTTTATAAAAAAAAGTTGTAAATCAAAATAGTTTAGAGAAAAAAAATAAAATAGGTGTAAAACATAAAAAATGTTAAAAAACGTTCTATGTCTTTATTCTAAAAATAGTACTTCTATGAAATTAAATGCCAATCATGAAATAAAAATATGTTTGATTACATTATGTGACATGTCTGATATTTAAAAAAATCTTGTAATATATAAAGTATAATTACAAATATATTATTTATAATAAATACTGCATAAATAAATTGAGGTGAAACGTAACCACAAAAACTTTTTAAAATTTAAAATTTTTATATTTATGTTAACTTTATATTATAATTATTTTTTTGCAAAAGTAGTTTTTTTGTATAAACATAACAATATTTTTGTATTTTAAAGGCATTCATTAAGATAATGTGATGATGATGATGATGATGATGATGATGATAATAATAATAATAATAATTTATAACAACAAGAATTTAAAATATATTTTTTTAAAATTTTTAGGTTTTCCAATTTTTTGAAGTTTTTCCAGTTTTTCCTAGTTTTTTTCTAGTTTCTTCCAGTTTCTTGCATTTTTTTCCAGTTATTCCAGTTTCTTCCAGGTTCTTCCAGTTCCTTCTAGTTTTTTCCAGTTTCTTTCAACATCTAGCTCTTTTTTCAGTCCTAAAGAACATGCTCTTAGAGGGTGTTTGGGAGTGATTACATTGTGTATAAAGTGATTTTCGCAAAAGCTGAAAGCAAAAGCATCTCATAATTGCTTCTCCGAAATGGTGTTCTGTATACAAAATAATAATGGAGAAAAGCAGAAGCTGAAATGTAAAAAAGAATAAAATCACTTTCTTTTAAAGTAGAAGCTAATTTCTGCAGTGCACTGTCAAACACCCTCCACAGCTCTCTTCTTTTGACAAGAAAGATAAATATCATAATATGACAACCAGACTTATAAATGGAGAAACTACTGTGTCACAATCTTTAGTTAAACTTTTGCTGCTTGTTACGGGGTATATTTAATTAATGAGAAGGAAAGAATAAGATTAATCTCCATGACGGGTTTGCGCGTTACCTGTTTTCATTTATTTATTTATTTTGAAAAAGGAAAGAAAATCTTTAATATGTGCATTTTTGAATGCATGGATAATTCATGCCAAGGAAACGGAAATATTAGAGCATTTAAAATAGATGTCTTTTTTTCCCCGTCCCAACTCCTGTCACATCAGTATTCGACTAACTTTTCGTCTCGCCCCAAAATTATGCAATGCTACCGCTTGGAAAACTCGTTTCTCTGCTTTTTTACGTTATTCATCTTTTTTAATTCCAATTTTAATTAAAATAACAAAATACATGTAATTAAAATAAAAATACTAGGATATGATTGGTATTCTTTATTAAAAAATACATCAAAAATAAAATACGGAATACACCAAAATATAATTAAAATTTAATAAACGAAAAAATTGAAGTAGAAGACGAAATGGATGAAAACTAATGCTGAAATTAAGTATTGTTGCGCCTCCAAATTTTTCTGATCAAATCAGCTTGGAGGGTAAATCGAGAGAGATGGGAGTGGATGGATTGAAGTGAGAGATGTCTTGAATTCATAAGATTAATTTTTTTAAAAGGAATTGCATCGAGGCGGACCGCTGCATTGGGCGGCCGCCGAGAATTGCGCCACATGAGCCGCGTGCACCAAGGTAGTTTTGTGGCGGAAGTGCTGCAATGGGAGTGCGGCGCGGTGGGTTGTGGAGGGGCGTGCGGCACGGAGGAAAAGCTCCCCATTGTAAATACTCTTATGAATTATAGTCATCTTTTTTTAAAATGTGACTTTTTTTGCATGCATTGGCGGATCTACAAATTAGAGGGTATAATATGGTTATATGGGCAAAAAAACTACTACAAGGCACCCTCAATTTTGTGGTAGGAGTTTTCTCGTCACGTTTTTTTTAAGAACATACTCTCAAGAGTATTTAATGTCAAAGGAATGTTTGAAGGACCTTCCATCCAAATCCCTTTAGGCATAGACGTTTGATTAAATCAAATAGAAAAAATTAATGAAATTCTCAATTTAACCCTACAAAAATATTGCGAGGTATCTTTTATTTTAAGATAAGAACTCTTGTGTCTCACTAGTTTTTTAAGTATATTGCGGAGGGATTTAAAATTTGTAGTATTGTAATCGGATGATACTTTCCATCCAAATGACCAACGAATTGAGTATTACATCAGTTTGACCCAAAATTTCCAATTTTATCCTTTTGTATGGACTACTTCAAATTTTATATTAAGAACTGGCAGGTTCTACATGTGCCTTTCTAGCAAATGTTTTTCGTCTTTTCTCGCGAAACCAATTTTCGGTAAATCCCCGACTAATTTACTTCTTACTCCATTATTTTTGGTCAATTTTTTTATTGGTGACAATTTCTTATTAAACCCACATTCAAATAAAAACTAATATGACAATAAAATGGCATTATCATTAGTTATACAATATTCAATTTCTTTTACAACATTCTTAATTTGAACAAACCCTTGGTTTTAATTCCATGCAAAATAAAGTAATTGGATTTTTTGAAGGAAAAGTAATTGGATATTAAATGCGAAGTAATCTTACCAAAAAATTAAGCTAGCACTAACATGTCTAGAAAATTGTTGTACTACTAAATAATTAAAGACGAATAATTCAAAATAATTACTCCCTCTTTCTTAATTAAAATTCTTTTTCAGTTGACGACATTTGACTAAAATTATTTTTAAATTATTTTATATACTCTATCCGTATAACAATAAAGTTTTCGTTCACTATTTACATGGTCAAACGTTATTCACTTTATTGACATATTTTCATGTTCTATTTGATAAAATAATATAATCATGTCCAATTTTCATATCTTTTCATGTAATTTTTAAATATATAATTTTTATTTTTAAATTCCTTACCATTTTTTCATGTAAAATAATTTGAAAATAACTTCAGTCAAACATCCGCAACGAGAACTTTATTTATGGATGGATGGAGTAAAAATTTGTGTAAATTTAAAAAATAAAAATTACATATTCAAAAGATATACAAAAATCTAGTGGTGACTTGACTATATTATTTTATCAAATAGCTGACAAAAATAAAGAAAAAAAATGAATAAATTTTGACCATGTAAATAACAAATATATAATTTAATTTGAGACAGAAGGAATACAAATTTACAAGATTGCATTTGTTATTGTGAGATTAATTTAGAATTAAAGAATCACATTCCTTTATTATAAAGTTTATATTAAAAAAATACGGAGTAATAAAGAGGAAGAGAAATGCTAGAGTCACAAACACTTTGGTCACAAAATACACAACCTTGTTATTTGTGCACCTCACTAAATTAATAAAATGATGTTGAATAATTAAAAAGTAAACATTTAAATACACAAATAGTAAGTTTGTGTATTTTGTGACCAAAGTGTTTGTGACTCTAACATTTCTCAAAGAGGAAAGGAGTTAAAACAGATTTTTTTTGAAACAATCTTTGGGGTAATTAATTAAGAAAAAAAATTAAGGCAAAGATTTTGAAGGGTTAAGAAGCCCTAATGACCAAGTCTCTCTCTCTCTCCCTCCCGGCGCCAGAGTTGATCACTCTCTCTCTCTCTCTCTCTCTCTAAAATACAAATTTGGTTCTCTCAGTTTCTCTCTCATCCACTAGAATTAGCGATTCCCCTTTTCTCACACCTCCCCTTATTTCTCTCGTATTGAATGAATTGATACAGAGGTACGTATATTATACTGTATAACCCCCTCCTCCCTCCCTCCCTCCCTCCGCCTTCATTCTCTCTCTCTCTGTGTTGTGGTTTCAATTCGATCCTCTTCTCTTCTTCTTGTTCTGGTTCTTGTGCGTGTGTGTGTATATATGTTCAGATTCATGCCAAATCGGTCAAAGGTTCTATCTTTTCTCCCCCTAGATTCTTAATCATCATCATCGCCCATTTTTTCCCAATTTCAATCCGAAATCTGCATCGTCCCCTTTCTTGATTCCTGGGTTTCCTCCGACGGACCGTATTCATCGCCCGTGTTCCTTTTTTTGTTATGCGTGCCCGCGAGTTTTGACGGTGGATTGCGTGAGAAGTTAGATTCGGGGCATTCAGCAATTGGGTTTTTGAATCTTTAATTTTGAATCTTGTTTCGTTAATGGCGATTGTCTGATTCATTCGGCGTTTGTTGTTGGGATTTCTTGTCTAGCTGATAAGGGTTTCTGGGCATGCCTTGTTTTTTTGGATTGATTGGTTTGGCTGGCTAGATTTTGATTGGATTTGTCTGATGGCGATGAATTGTGGCGGGGAGAGCTTGTGTAGTGGGATCGAGATTGAGAGTAGGGGTTTCATGGAAGATTGCCCGGACAGGAATCTTGATTGTTTAGGCAAATCCTGGGGATTTGATTGTGGCAAGGGGAAGTTAACAGACGATGTTGCTGATTTGCTGCCTCGCGATCCGTTTGGCATGGATATTAACACAACCATGACCGAACTCTCTGGCATCACCGGTTGGATTGAGAACATTGATGATCAGTTATTTTCCGGCCATCTGTTTTTGGATTGTAATATGGAGGGGATAATGGATATCAGTTACAAAATCAAAAACTACTGGATTTGCAAAGCCGAATCATCCAAGAATCAGGGATCCTCTGCAGCTGTTTTTGATGGCGAAGGAGGTGACCCTCCGGATGGCATGTTTCTTGCTCTCTCTTATCTGGGTGTCGAAGATCTTCTTTCTGTGGAGCAAGTATGCAAATCCTTGCGCGATGCAGTGCAAAACGATCCTCTTATATGGAGAAGTATAAAGATAGATCATCCTTTGAGTGATAAGATCACAGATGGGGCTCTGTTGCAGTTGACAAACAGGTCCCAAGGACAGCTTTGTTGCTTGAGTCTCGTGGAGTGTTTGAAGATCACGGATGGTGGCTTGAAGAATGTTCTTGAGAGGAGTAAAAGGCTCACAAAGGTAAGTGGATTTTATACGTAATCTCGTTTTTACTTTCACATTTTTTTGACATCTCTTTGTTGTGTAGTTTGGATCATGTTCGCATTTTACATTGGCATGAAATCCTTGACCATGGACATTATACAATTGCTAACCACACTTAGGGCTATCTAACGGCAGCGTTTAGCATTAGCGCTTTCAAAGTTAATCTACACCATTAAAACTTTATCCAAAATGCTAACGCTAATTGAAAACGTTGTTCCCAAACAAGGCACTGTTCTCTTGTGTTCAATTATGCTTCGGAAAATTTGGTGTAATAGGATTGATATTATCTACTAATTTTAGAACATTGATGAAAGAAAGCTCATGACACTATAACAATGTAAGATAGTCATTATCTTGGATTCCTTGCAGCTTTGCGTAGCGGGGTGCATGAAGCTCAGCATTGATGGGCTTTTGTCTAGCTTAAAAGTCTTCAAGAACACGGGATACCCGGGGATAAAGCGTCTAAGAATAGGTGGACTCTTTGGTGTGACAAACGAACATTACGAAGAGCTGAAGCTACTTCTTGGAGTGATGGATGACACCTGCCAGCTGTCGACCGCCACCCATAAACCGCGGTTTTACCGGGGTGGCCAGCTGTATCTCTCAGTGGACGATGAACGGGCCATAGACATTGAAATGTGCCCCAAGTGCCAGCAGCTCAGGCTGGTGTACGATTGCCCCTCGGAGAGCTGCCAAGGGGCCCCACTGCAGGGCGGCGCACAGCTGTGCAGGGCTTGTACTCTGTGCATCTCTCGTTGTAAAAGCTGCGGCTGCTGCCTGAGCAACTGCGACTACGAAGAGACATTCTGTCTGGAAAACCTGTGTTCGGATTGCATAAAGAAGTTTTTCCCCAACCACCCGTTCTTGCGCCCAACGGGCATTTTCTTCATCTGTGGCTAGAAGAGCTCAACCCATCCACCGTTTTTTTGACTTTTAGGCCGGGCCGGGCCTGGATTATAGCCCGTAAACCGTAAGCCGTCTGATATAGAGACGGAGGGGCAGAAGCATCAACAGGCTGGATATTCTTATAGTTGTTGAGATTTCCATCCTCTGTACTAGACAAAAAAAAGAAGAAAAAAAAAGAAAAAAAAGGATTAGGCACGAAGCTCGGCCTAAGCCCTCGTCGGGGCCCACAAGAAATACATCACGGGCGGTTGGAGCCTTGAAGACGGAGTGGAGTCGGTTCACGCGAGTCGTCGAGGTTTGGAATCCGAAATCAAAATGTTCATTCAGAAAAGATGAAACATCAGATGATGAGGAGTGAAAATGTGAAGGAAGAAAAAAAAAGACAGTGGAAATGTGCAAGTGGCTGGGGTGATGGACCAGACATGGGACAAAAAAACAATGAATTTCAAATGGCAATAAGGTTAAATGTTGTACTAGCGATGTTGTCCCAACTCTCAAAGGGTCATTTTAGTCATTTTTCTTTGGTGTCATGACTTTGATAATTGCCATTTATTAGGCATCCCATCTTTCAATGCCACTCGCGTGTGCCAAAAATCATGGAGCTCATTTTGGGTTGTTGTGGCAAAAGAAGAAGAAGAAAAAAAACTATCTTAGTAGTACTAACTAACTATGGCATTCATTACATTCTCCCTATTATATATTGCCTTTTGTAACAAAACTTCATTGTGAAAGTACATTTGTTTTAGACCTGCACAAACACTGATCCGAGGAACGGATTGATTGGAGTTCGTTTATGTTTCTTTTGCGTGGCGTTTATTGGAACTCTATTACAATGTCGTATTTTCTCGTGGAAGTATGTTTGTTAGCTTTGTGCAAGTTGTTTTCGTCTTCATGTATTCGTTAAGTTTGATGTTTTTCAAGTTAAATTAGATTGATTTTGATCATCAATTGTGTTGCATATCAAAGAGAAGGGATAATTTTTTGGAAACTTTCTACAAGAACAATTTAATAAAATCATTTTTATGTTAATATGCAATGTGATTAAAGTTTATCTAGTCAGATCCAAAAAAACGAAGTGAATGAATACATTGACACGGAGATAATATTTATCTTTGTAAAGCGTTAGTTATAAATGATTTTATATTTTTAAAAGAAGTGTTTCTTTGGGTATCTGATATGCACCAGTGTACTTTTCAAAGTTAGAATTAGTGTTTTAAAAAGGTTATAATTTTAGCATTTTCAAAAATAATTTAAGTTATTAAAAATTAATACAAAATGATGATGTGCATCGAATAAACAAGGTTCTAATTTGCATTTCAAAGCCCGGATGAAGAAAGTTCGATTTCCAAATTAACAAAAAAAAAATTCCAAAAATACGAAGAAAGTTGGAACGGTACAAATTAAATTTTAATTAATATAGGTGTCGTTTAAATGATTTATATTTCCAAATTCATGGGTGGAATAAAGTGGGAAATTGTGAATTTGAGATAACAATGAATCGCATTAAATAGTTCATACTTCATTTTCTATTTTTTAAAAATAGGCTAAAATCCACCACTGGTCTTTCAAATTTATGAGTTATGTACGATTGATCCTTCATGTTTCAAAAGTCCATAAATAGTCCTTCAACTTTATGAGTTCTGCACCATTGGTCCTTCAAGTTTCAAAAGTCCATAACTAATCCTTCAGGTACACCTCAGCCCTCCAGATGAAGTCCTTTTGACAGTAGATATTGAAAGTTAAACGAAATATTAGTTTCATATAATACGAGTAAATTCCACTAGGTACGACTACTCCGTATTATATGGAGCTAGTATTCCATTTAGCTTTTAACATTTACTGTCAAAAGGACCTCATCGGGAGGGCTAACGTGTACTTGAAGGACTACTTATGCACTTTTAAAACTTGAAGAACCAATCATGCATAACTCATAAAGTTGAAGGACTATTTATGGACTTTTAAAACTTGAAGGACCAATCGTGCACAATTGATAAAGTTGAAGGACTAATGATGGAGTTTAGCCTTAAAAATATTTCATACTCCATAAACAAAACTAAGGGAGAAAGACCAAACTAGGATTAAAACATTGAAGATATATCAAAATAGGACTTCCATGTTTTTATTCACGAAATAGGACTTACATTACCAAACATGGTCATATACATTACCAAAAAAGTATAGTAATTTGCACATGTACACTGCCACATTACCACAATGCAAAGTCACATTACCACAGTGCAAAGTCCTATTCCGGGAAAAAAAACATGAAAGTCCTATTTTGGTACTTTTCTTTATGTTTTAGTCCTATTTAGGATGATTTCTACAAAACTAAATGCTACACCCTTAAACCATTCATGTTTTGACTTGGAAGGAATTTATTTTCGTAGTTTGACTTTCTAATTATATTCTTATCATCAGAGAAAAAAAGAGAAAAATGAAAGTCTTTTTTAACAATTTGAATGAGACAATTTGCAATGATTTAATTTAGATATATTAGTATTTTTTTACAAAAGTAGAAGTGTTTTAGAGAAAACAAAAAAAATGAAAGATGAATTGTTTTAAGAAACGAAAGAGGTATATATCTAGATGGTAAATTAGATCATACATTTTTTTACATTAAGAATGATCGCAAATTTTTTTGTGGTCCTAAAGTCCATACTCATTTTTTGAGCCTTAGTGTATAAATATTATGGATGAATTGAGCTTTTTTTTAAAAAAAATCTTCATGTTGGTCCATGAGAGACGTGAGAAGATTTAGAATTTACATGTAGATCTTAGGAATATGTAAACACAACTCATAGATAATACAGAGTACATATTGATTTCTTTATTAAAGAAGATAGACAACTTGTTTCGAACACATAAAATTAAGAGCATAGGCTGATAGTCAATGGTAAGTCGTGTGCTGGAATGCCACACGGCGACGTGGCATAATACAACCAATCAAAAAATGCATAGTCAAACAATGGCATTTCATTGGAATGACATGTCTTGCAGTGCCAAGTATTGTTTATTTGTCAATTATAACATTTTTGACATAATATAATTAGTTCGGTTTTATTTTTCATTTTTTATAAATATTTGTATTTTCGTGTAAAGATTTAATTGTATAGAGAAAATATTATTTTTTTAAATTGGTTTAATTATCTACTTAAATTGTATAATATCGGATTAAAACTAACTTTAAGAAATATGTATTTTTAGTTTCAGAAAATATGTTAAATTGTTTTTAAAAAGAAAATAGATTGAAAAAAAACAACATAGATCATAAAAAAAAGGAATTGGTATTTTTGTTTCAGAAAAAAGGGTTGGGTTTTTTTAAAAAAAAATTGGATTTGGGAAGAAGAAAAAACGTGAGGCAAAACACATGCAACAAAAAAAGAAGAATCACATGGTTTAGCAGATGGCAAAAAACTAAAAAAAAAGAAAGAAAAAAGGGAACAAGGATTCAGTCGCATTGACGCATTTTGCCGTACATTTCTCCTCGCACAAGCCACGCATATAGTGGTGTCTCGCCACATTCCAATAAGGTTTATGAAACTAATGGAACTCGTAACAAACGCATGTTTGCACACAGTACAATACACCATGGCCTTGTTTATATGTTGGTTGTTAGCAATTTGTATCGGATGTTCCAAATACCTGTTAGATTTAACTGGTTTGACTAATAGGGTAAGTTGGATGATCGTTAAAAATATTTGGTAAAATTAATTGTTTCGATATATATATATATATATATATATATATATATATATATATATATATATATATATATATATATATATATATATATATATATATAATACACACACGATATTTGTTTTTAATTTTTGTACATGTAAAAATTAAATCGTTAATATGTGGAGTATAAAATTTCATTTTCATATAATTCATAAGAAAGTATTAATATATAAATTTTTATGATTTTTACTTTTGATTTTCTCATATCTTTTTTTTAAATTTAATTTTTGAATTTTTGAATTTTTTAAACTTTTATTTCTATTTTTTTTTACATATAATGTAAAAATATCTTTCAAGAAAAAAGATTTTAAAATTTTTTTTTCTAAAAGCCAAGTTCAAAAGCTACTCTCCTTAGCATTTCAGATTTTGGCATTTCGGATAAAAAACCAAGTGAAAAAGACATTAACCAAACAATGGTTTTGACTTAAGCTCTTTAGCATTTTGAAAAAAATTATTATTCTCAGTGTCTTAAAATTATCTTTCGTTTCATCATTCGTTGAGTCAAGCTTTATCTATTTTGTTAGTCTACTTTTAATACTTATTTGATTAATAAATATAGTCATGTCACATGTAATTTCGTAAATCTTTTAATGTAGTTTTTTTTAATATACAAATTTTAATCATTAAATTCCATACAAATTTCTTTAATAAATTTAATTGAAAAAACTTCAGTCTAACATCGTAAAACACCATGAAAAGTTAGCTTTAGTTAGAATGGAGGGAGCATCCTTTCAAAGGCAGGCAAAGAGATACTGTTGAAGACTGTTTCTCAAGTCATGCCCAATTCGCCATGAGCGTATTCGCATTACCCATCGGCACTTGTCAAAGAATTGAGGGCCTCATGAACAAGTTTTGGTGGCAAAGTGATGGTAAAAACTCCTCAGGTATCCATTGGCTATCATGGGAGCGGATGACGAAACCCAAAAAATTTAGTGGCCTCGGGTTCACGGACATTCATGCCTTTAATTTAGCAATGCTTGGCAAGCAAGGTTGGAGATTGCTAACTAAGACTCACTCACTTCTTGATAAGGTCTTCAAGGCTAGGTACTATCCTAAAAGCTCCTTCTTGGAGGCATCCACTGGGCCTAATCCTAGTTTCGTCTGGAGAAGTATTTTGGGGGCACAACCACTGATCAAGGATGTCATCCGCCGTAGAGTAGGAAATGTCGAAGGTACTCTTATTTGGGCTAATCCGTGGCTTTGGGACCCTTCAAATATGAGGGTTTCTACACCTAAACCTAGTTTCTGCCTGGACTTTCCGGTGAGTTTGTTGCTTAATGATAGCAAGGATTCGTGGAATGAGTTGACAGTGAGGTCTTGGTTCAATTTGGCCAATTGTGACCGCATACTTATGGTGCCCATCTCTCCCCCACTACAGGATGATTGGTATTGGCCGTTGGAGGTGTCAGGATGCTACTCGATCAAGTCGGCTTATCGGAAATTGGCGGGGGAAGTTGCAAACGCTACGGGGTTTGCGCACTGGAGCATGCTGTGGAAGTTGAAGGTCCCCCAAGGTTAATGTTTGCATGTGGAGGGCCTTGAGAGGCATTTTACCACTTTATGAAATTTTGACAAAGAAGGGCGTGGAGCTTGAAAATATTTGCCCGTCTTGTGGTGCTAAAGGATAGTACCTTGAGCACGTCTTCTTGGCTTGTCTTATGGTTGTTGCGGTCTGGAGCTACCTGAAGATTTCTGTGGCGACGCACACCTACTTTGTGGCAGGTACCTGGGCAATTTGGAAGGCTAGAAATGTAGCTTTATGGGAGAAGAAGGTAGTCAGGCCACTTGTTGTGGTGGAGTGGGCAACGGCGGCGCCACTAACCACTGCGGCAGATCCACCCCTTGCNGTATGGTGGATGCCGCTCTTCACGTGCGCTCACAATCGGTTGGGGTGGGGTGGCAGCGGTCTTGTTGAGAGAGGATGGATCCTATGGGGGTGCCTTTAGTGGAATCGTTCGTTGTCCTTTTGAGGCTCGAGTTGGGGAGGCTTTTGCAATCAAGGAAGTATTGTCTTGGCTCAAGGAGAGGGGCGTCACGGAGGTTGCTTCATTTTTTGATTGTTCGTTGCTCATTCAGGCATTAAACAAGCAGCAAACTGATGATCGTTCTTATTTGGGAGTTATTGAGAGCGAGTGTAGGCTTTTGGCTTTTCTTTTTCACAGGTTTATTTCTGTTACTTTTCAAGGCGTTTTAATTCTATTGTGCATGTTTTGGCTAAGAACTCTGAGGACATAGGCAACGTTTGTCCGTCCGATCCGCCTGCTTGTATTTCGCATCAATTCGTTAATGACATGTTTTGCTTTCCCTCAAAAAAAAAAGAATGGAGGGAGCATAATTTTTGGCATTAAACATTTCTATGTATTCAAATTTCTTTCGAACGCCAATCACAGACATCATAGCCTCGTTTGGCATTCACATTAGCATTTTAAAAGACTATCTGACGATGACCCTTAGTGTTAGTATTTTTAGAATTAATTTACACCATTAAAATTTTACATAAAATTCTAAAACATCAACGGCCCATAGAGGTTTACTTGTGGGCTAATATCTTGATGGGCCTACTTGTGGGCTTTATCTGATACCATTTTTACTCATCGTGGTTTAAGGCCCATAGATAGTTTGTACTTTGTACTCCGTAATCCGTATCAAGTATCAACGGGTCAGAGTGCCCGACTGCCCGTACGTAAGAAAACCGGCGGCGTTGGCGACCCGATCAAACAGCGAGCAATTTGAAGTCGTCTCCTTACCGATTCGGCGATTCCTCACCGAGCTGAAAGATAATTTGAAGAAGATGGAGAACGGAGGAGGACAAAAGGAAGTTCCCGATAACGCCCCTGAACGTAAGATACTGTTCTATCCCCAAATCGCCGCCGTCTAGGGTTTTCGCCCTCTGATTTTATATATTTTGTTTGATTGATTTTTGAATGTTTTTTTTTTGTTCTTTCATTATTGGATTTCAATTTACAGATTGTCCTGGGACTCAATCGGAAGATGCCGGGAAATCCGATGCTTGCCAAGGCTGCCCCAACCAGCAAATCTGTGCAACTGCTCCTAAAGGCCCCGACCCAGGTTCTCTTCTTCTTCTTCTTCTTCTACAGTTGATATTTTTACTACCTCTATTCTGTTTTATTTGCTTCCCTTTCGGCTTTCACAGCTTTTATCTGCTTTGTCATTGAGTTTCTTGATGTTTGAAAGTGTTAAACTGTGAAAAAAATGAGTTGTTTGAATTTGTTTAGAAGAAAGATGAATGGTTTGAGCTACACATTCCTTATCTAAAAAGGAAATAGGTAAAGTGAGAAATATATTGTGACACAAGGGAAAATGAAGGTGTGATGCTTTTACAATTTCTTGTTTTGGAAGAAAAATGAGCTGTGCAGTTATGACTTTCGTGTTCCATCGATAAAATTAGTTTTTGAAAAGCTTGTGTTTTGCACCTTCTTTGTTCATGTCCTGTAATGACCTGTATATATGATATATGGCAAAACTCAAATGGGTTTCCAACTAAAACAAGTTGTTGGGAAGCAAATGCTGAGACCAGAGCAGTATTTTCTTGTTTACACAATTGGATTCTTGAATTCCATTCATCTAAGTAAGGAACAAAATAACATTTTGCCCAGACATTTGTCTTTAAATGACTGGTAAAAATCATTTATGTTCTTATTATAGAGTGGGTGTGGGGACACTGGGACTTCCTTATGCATTTACATGAACTCCATTTTAGTTCCTTTACTTCCTTATATTTGTAAAGTTTTGCAACTTTTATTTAAAGTAAAAAAGTTGAGACTAAAATGCCTTCTGAACGTCGTGATTGTGTGAATCACGTCAAATTGTTCATTTCTTAGGAGCAAGCAATGATTTATTGGACTTCTGAATGTTGATATTTAGGTTGTAGCAATTGAAGCCACTTATAATGCCATGCGGTGTGGGGGTCGGGAGCCACCGGAGAGCCGAGGAGGTGGTTGGTCTTGATCGGGAACACTGCCCCCTTCCTCGGCTTTTGGAAAATTTGGCAGCCCCGCGGCCCCGCCACGATTTTCCCGAATGGCACTTTGGCTGTTTTGGAACGTTCAATCGGTCCAAATTTAAAGAAAATTTTTTTACTCTCCATTCCGTCTTTTTTATTATTAAAACATCCAACCCTTCTACTTCATCCAGACCAAGATTACATTTCTTTTCAATTTACTCTTTTCCATACATTTCTACAAATTTTTACTCTTTCATTTATCTACAATGGATCCAACCCGACCACTCACGCCATCCTCAGATCCTTCTTTGTTTTCATTTACTGGTCCTGGTCAAGTGCCAAACATGTTCCAAATGCAACAATGGCAACATATGCAATGGCAAATATACATGCAACAACAAGGAATGCGTCCGATGCTGCCGCAACAACTGCGTCACAATGTTGCGGGTGACATTGCTTCCCTATCCCAAGATGATGAAGGGGAGGTTGTGCCCGATACACAACCCCATAAATCAACGAAAGGGAAAGGGAAAAAGCGGAACCAAGAAGGAACAAGCGGTCGAAGCGCCTCCAAACCATGGACGGCGACCGAGGAGGAGGCGTTGGCCCGAGCATGGGTTAACATTTCCCAAGACCCAATAAAAGGTTTGTTTTTTCATTAGTATCATTACTATATATGTTTAAGTTAATTCATTAACTTTCTTTCAAAAAAAGTTAATTCATTAACTTCTCTTTTTACTTAATCATAAAAATTTAAAAATTATATTGTTCAATTTAAATGTAGGGAATGCTCAAACAAGCGACGGCTTTTGGAATAAGGTTACCCACGAATTCCACGTCTTGATGAATTCAAAGCCATACCGACTTTTCCACTCGGTTAGCTCCAAATACAGGGACATGAACAAAAAAATTGGGTGGTTTGCCAGTTACTACAACAAGGCCCATGTCAATCGCCCAAGCGGTGTGAGTGATGACAATGTGTTGAAAACGGCGCTTGAAAAATATCAAGCAAAACATGGCCCTTTTCCACATCTCAAGGCGTGGGAGGTATTTAACGCGTCTTCGAAGTGGGCTCCGACCCCGAATGAGGTGCCGCGTGCAAAACGGGCCAAGACGTCCGAGTCGGGGGACCATAGTCCCGGAGGGTCTGATGCGCATTGGATGCCGAATATTAGTGATGATGCCGACCTCGACGGTGATATAACCCCTTCAGAACCTCAACAGCCCGTTGGGAGGGATAAAGCTAAAAAAGCTTCATCTTCAAAAACGGAAGCACCCGGGGGATCAAAGTTGGACGTGCTAGTAAGTCGCATGTCTGCATTTCATGAATTACAAACAGAGAAGCTTCGGTTGAAGCAACAAGAAAAAGTGGAAGCGGTGGCAAGGGAGGAGGCGCGACTTGAGCTGGAGCGTCAACGACTAGTGTTGGAAGAATTTAAAGTCATGACTACTGACATCGAAAGTCTTCCACCCAGGGAGCGGGCGGTGTTGATGAAAATGAAAGACAAGATTGCGGAAAAATGGCTTCGGGATGTGGGCGGGAGTGGAAGCGGGGATCTTTAATTTTTTTTCATGTATGCTCTTTTTAAATTTTTTATTTAATTATGTATATTTTTTTTAAATTGTACTCCAGAGTACTATTTAATTATACCTTTTAATTTAGTATTAATGAAATGTTTTAAAGGAAGAGTAAAAGGAAAAACTGAGGTAGATTGGCGGATGGAGAAGGGAAGAGAGTAAGTGTCTACACCCCATAGCCTAACTGGCAGAAGCCGTTGGTGTTTCAGTAGAAGTTGAGAACTTCATTTTAGTTGGAATGGTGTGTTTGTTTGTCTCTGTAATACAGTATGACATCTCTGATTTTTTTGTGCTCCTTGCAGATTTGGTTGCAATAGCAGAAAGAATGGCGACGGTGAAGCACAAGATACTCGTTTTATCTGGCAAGGGTGGGGTTGGTAAGAGCACATTCTCTTCTCAGCTTGCATTTGCATTGGCCTCAATGGATTTCCAAGTCGGTCTCCTTGATATCGACATCTGCGGTCCGAGCATCCCAAAGATGCTCGGTCTAGAAGGTCAAGAGATTCACCAGAGCAACCTCGGATGGTCCCCGGTTTACGTCGAGCCCAACCTCGGCGTCATGTCAATCGGGTTCATGCTTCCTAACCCAGACGATGCCGTCATATGGAAAGGCCCCCGCAAGAACGCTTTGATCAAACAGTTCCTCAAGGATGTTCACTGGGGCGAGCTAGATTTTCTGGTGGTTGACGCTCCACCCGGGACCTCGGACGAACACATCTCAGTCGTTCAATTCCTCCAATCCACCGGGATCGACGGGGCCCTCATCGTCACCACCCCACAACAGGTCTCCCTCATTGATGTGAGGAAAGAGGTGAGCTTCTGCAAGAAAGTCGCGCTCCATGTCCTCGGGGTCGTCGAGAACATGAGCGGTCTTTGCCAGAAGCTCTCGGAGTTCAAATTCATGAGGACCACAGAGAGCGGCGAGCTGGTGGAGGTTACGGATTCGGTCACGAGATTATTGAAACAAAAGGTTCCGGACGTGATGGACGTGTTCGGGTACAGTGAAGTGTTCGACACCAGCAGGGGTGGGGCCGCCGGGATGTGCAGCGAAATGGGCGTGCCTTTTCTCGGGGCTGTCCCGTTGGATCCTCAGCTGGGTAAAGCTGCAGAGGAAGGGAGGTCTTGCTTCACGGATGACAAGTGCCCGGCAAGCGCCCCGGCGATTAAGAAGATTGTGGAGAAATTGTTGCAAAGATTGAGACCTGAAAGAACAGATGAGTATGGAGTTTGAGTTTTGTTTGCTGGTGTGGAGTTGCGTTTTTTTCTTCTTATTTGCTACAGGGAAAGTTTATTGCGCTTTTATCTATATACACATTGTTGTAGTAAGTTAAAAGGTTGAGCTATGGATTGTGATAACATGCAGACAATGCAGTGTCTATTGGTACATTTATCGTGTGAAGTTTTAAGACATTACCTTGGCTCTTTTGAATTGAGTTTCGATGTCATATTATGACATTGGATAATTTTAGTGTTCGCCGAAGTGGTTCTTGCTCTTTTAATCCTCCAAAACGACAGGCAGTGATATAAAGTATAACAGTCTGGATTTAGGTGACTAATTCAAAATTAGATTTCGGTGACATCCCATGAGGCGAGATACACCTGAGAATTTTGAACTAGCCGCCCAAATCTGAACTGCTATTTTATATTGGGCTTGTTTGGAAGTAGTCTTAGAGATTAGCGTTAGCGTTTTGGATAAAATTTTAACGGTGCAGATTACTTTGAGAACGCTAATGCTAAACGCTGCTCGTAGATAGCCTTTTCAAACCGATAACGCTAATCGCTAACGCTATTACCAAACATGCCCATTAGCTGAATGCATTACATTGAGGACACTCAATTATTTGCTTTTATCAAAATTGTTCTTGCTCAAGACGATCCAAAAGAACTACTCCGTTATGTGGACAGTTTCATGACATTACTTGGCAATGTCATGGGATGACTCCGGGATCTCCGGTGCCCCGTTCATAAAATTGAAGGTTCTTATCTCTTTTGTAAACCCCCCCACCCCACCTCGACCCTAACACATCCCCCACTCTCTTCAATTACATTCCACAAATTAATTTTGACTTTTGAGTCTAATTTTAACTTCAAAGTCGAAATTAACTTGTTAGATGCAATTAAAGGGGTGGGTGTGTGTTTGAGTCGGGGAGAGATCAGGGGGGTTAAGGGGATAGAACCATCAACTTTACGAATGGGGCACTTGAAGTGCCCCTAGGTCATTAGTTGACGTATGATTCCAATGTCATTGAAACCCCACCGTGTACAACAATGCGATGAAAATTAACTTTCTTTTCATTTTGGTATTTTGATGAAATAAAAAGCGGGGAAAACATTCTCCTTTTCTTTTTTTAGAATCACACAAACCAAACATTTTTATTGCTTCATTTATATTTTTCCTCCCCCACAACCAACCAAACACTTCCTTACGAATGTCGTGTTACCGAAGAAAGGAGCGGGGGATTTTGTGGCCCCGCATTTTTCGCAGTTTTTTCGCTGACACTGAACGAACTTTTCGGATCCCGACGTATTCTCCAAGAGAGAAGAGAAGGCTCTCCTTGGCACCAGTAGTAGTATATAAGAACCCGCAACCCTAGCCACATTTCTCTCTTCCTCATCACATACTTCTTTCCCTCTGTTATCATCGTCTTCCTCAATCTCACATTTCGCAGCTCTCTTCATTCGCAAATCATGGCCAAGATCAAGATCGGAATCAATGGTGCGGCATTTTCATTCTGCGTCTCTGTTTGTTTTCGAGAATTTCATTTGTCTCTCCGGACGGTGTTTTGATTGTCTATTCTTACAGGCTTTGGAAGGATTGGCCGATTGGTGGCCAGGGTTGCGCTCCAGAGCGACGACGTGGAGCTCGTAGCCGTCAATGATCCCTTCATCACCACCGAGTACATGGTAAATTACGTAAAAACGCGTTCTCATCCGTGTAGAAGAACGGCATGGATTTGAGGAATCTGTTTTTCGTTGAAGATAGATCGTTTTATGGCTTTGTAGATCTATAGATCTATGGATTGTTGATTTGATCCCCATTTTGATCTGATGGGATCTCCCATTTTGAACTGCTGTGAATTGCTTTGTCTGTCATTCTAAGAAGGTTAATGGATCAAGCTTTGCATGTCTGTAATATAGACCTGAAATGAGAGTCAAAATTGGAAATAGGCTCTCTCTGGCTTTGGTGGAGGCCTGACTATTTGATCTGACAGAAGTGTGATGTTTGTGTTTTTTTTCCCAATCATTACATTGTTTTAAATGGAATCTATTCCCAAGAGCTGTTTGAGGTCTTGTTTTAATTGTACTTTGGCTTTATGCGTTATATTCTCATACATTATTTACCAGGTTTTCCCCCAATCTTATAAACAAGAGCTAAATAGTTGTGCATTGTTTGTCATACCTTTATATTGCATTTGTTTCTTGAACAATAAGTTATTCTGTTTGTGCAGACCTATATGTTCAAGTATGATTCTGTTCATGGCCAATGGAAAAAGCATGAACTCCAAGTCAAGGACTCGAAAACTCTCTTATTTGGTGACCGTCCTGTTGCAGTTTTTGGCATGAGGTATGTTACAGAGCACCACATTTATTCCGCCGACATGTTACTCTTTAGTTTATTCACCTTTTTTTGCTCTTGATATTTATTTAATAGGAACCCAGAGGAGATTCCATGGGGTGAGGTTGGAGCAGATTTTGTTGTTGAATCTACTGGAGTGTTTACTGATAAGGATAAAGCTGCTGCACACTTGAAGGTTTGCTTCAAGACACCCCTTCTTTCGATATCTTTTTCTACTCTGTTCTTTATTATATATTTGTCTAAACTCACTTTATGTACCCAGTAGTTTGTTTTCATATATATGCTACATAATTTAAATTTATGTAAATTTATGAAAATTAAATATATTTAATTTTTTCATCATTGTGTTTTAATCTAAAATGAAGTATACAAAATAATTTTTGTTCGTAATTTTCCCCTTTACCAAGCATTTTTCATTATCGAAATGATCATTCCATACAACCGCTCAATCTGAGAATTTTTAGTCTTATTTATTATTTCAGCTTTCTCAATTTTGCTCCCATTATTATTATTATTATTATTATTATTCAATTGATGTTCATGTTTATATGTTTTAATTACTAGGGAGGTGCAAAGAAGGTTGTCATTTCTGCCCCAAGCAAGGATGCTCCCATGTTTGTGATGGGTGTCAACCATACTGAGTATAAGAAAGACATTGATATTGTTTCTAATGCTAGTTGTACCACCAACTGTCTTGCTCCATTGGCAAAGGTTGGTTTCTACTCTATTTTAACATACCTTCCCTTCCATTGGAGCTTTTATAATGATCAAAGACTAACTACTATCTAATTATTTATGTGCAGGTTATTAATGACAGGTTTGGTATCGTTGAGGGTCTTATGACCACTGTCCATGCTATTACAGGTAATTACAATTACTTTACCCCCCCCCCCCC